TTTAATGGATGACAACTCCTTCGAGTGCTGGGGGTCAGTCTTCAAAGGACTGCCATGGCTAATTGCGGTTATGTTGAAAACCACAGGTCCTCACCCCTAACCTTCTGGGGGAAAATGGCGACTTTTGTAACTAGTTTGAAACAAAATGTCAACACGAATGTGACCATGTTTGGCTAGCCACCTCCCTGCTACATCCCTCAACTCTAGTCAAACAGCCACGATGGGGGAACGAGCCATGCAGAGATTTATCTACTTGTGACTGGGCACACGTTGCACACACACGTCCTGTACACCATTGCCGGGTCTTCCAGCCTTACTGCCTACCACAACAAAACGTAAAATGTAGCAGATCGAGGAATATATTTTCAGTGATCCCCTCACTATCCCAGACATGGTGTTTGTTTGCATAGCTACACCGGCATAACGAGCGAACAACTGTGGGGAAACATCTGACAATATTCTCCCAGTCAGCGCTCATTTTAATCCCAGTTACATAAATATGCACATCGTCAGTAAATACCCTTGCTGATGTAAGTTTGTTAAATTTGTTTGGCAATTCCTTTCTGTACAGGTTTACATTTATTTATTAGATTTTTATTTGTGCAGCCTGTCGAATTCGAAGCTACGATCCTGAATTGAAAGAATTTGATTACTTCCAAAGTGACACATGAGAATGTTGTAAGCTGCTATAATATTGTTAGTCAAGTCTCTACAATGCTCAGCACTGGCGAAGACGATGAAATATGCAGGTGAGGGTACAATGTTATAGACAATGTTACTTTTTAGTTACTATGAGAACTGCCATCGGATGTTGTGAGTAAATTATGTAACTATATTTCCTTTATGTAATATATGCTATATTTGGGAGACAGTACACTTTCTTAGTAAAGTACAAATTCCAGTAGCTTTAAATCGGCCGTGAGAGCCGTGTCAATTAACACTTATCAGAGGGGTACACAAAATCCGCAGTCTAGACTACCAGTTGTCCGACTTCCATTTATGTAAGTCGCGCTGGCTGAGCGGGTTAGGCGGCTGACTTTGTGTGTTGGCAATTAGGTGCCTGACTCTGAGGGTGTGGGTTCGAATCTCGGATGGGACTCAATTCAAAAAGTACTAGAATTTTTACTTTATTGAGAAAGTGTAATCCCAAATACAACATGTGTTACATTTGACCACTTTCTAAATGGCATTGTGTAATTATATATACATGTAATTCCTTTGGCTAATTCCTTCACTTGTTCGGGGGGCGGTGGGGTAGCCTAATGGTTAAAGCGTTGGCTCGTCACGCCGAAGACCCGGGTTCGAATCCCCACATGGGCACAATGTGTGAAGCCCATTTCTGGTGTCCCCCGCCGTGATGTTGCTGGAATATTGCTAAAAGCGGCGTGAAACCAAACTCAGTCAGTCAGTCAGTTCACTTGTTCGGAATGCGTGTCTTCTAACGCGATTACGTTTGTGTCTAAAACAAATCTCAACACCAAACAGAGAGGTTCATCGTATATTGGATAGTTAAGAGCAAATAAGGCGTGTTATGGTTAACTACCCTTTGCTATTAACGTTTTGTTGATGGTTGACTTGTTGTGCGCCATGTACTCATTAACCCCCACACATACACATAACGGTTCACAGTACACAAGCGGCAGGCGGCTGACTGTTTTAGAATACGTTATGAATTACCCACAGTAGGAGCAAAACAGATTATTCGTACCACAAATTCCATTAGAAGTGTATGCTCTGCTCACACTTGATCCCAAAGTCACAGAGCAGCCGGAAAAGCCCAGAGAGAAGCTGACCTCTTAAACACTTAAAGCACAAAAAACATCGCAGGATGAAAACATGGCTTGTTGGTGAAAATGTGTACTAATACTCTCTACCATCCATGTGAACAGACACACATTCTGTGTCAATATATGTCAAGCAAAAGGTTATGCAGTAAACTCTTACAAATATTGTCATCACGACAGGATGGTTATACAGTAAACCATTACTGATATATATTGTCTTCACGACAGGATGGTTATACAGTAAACTCTTCCTAACATTGTCATCACGACAGGATGGTTATACAGTAAACCATTACTGATATATATTGTCATCACGACAGGATGGTTATACAGTAAACCATTACTGATATATATTGTCATCACGACAGGATGGTTATACAGTAAACCATTACTGATATATATTGTCATCACGACAGGATGGTTATACAGTAAACCATTACTGATATATATTGTCTTCACGACAGGATGGTTATACAGTAAACCATTACTGATATATATTGTCTTCACGACAGGATGGTTATACAGTAAACCATTACTGATATATATTGTCTTCACGACAGGATGGTTATACAGTAAACCATTACTCATATATATTTTCATCACGACAGGATGGTTATACAGTAAATCATTACTAACATTGTCATCACGACTAAGAGGCCTTGACACAAGGTGCAGTTGTCACAGTGTAAAATGTCCGCGATATGGAAGACCGCCAGGTTTCTAATACTGAGATCAAGGCCTCGTTTATGTGTGTAATACCGTGATTAGGATCAATGGCGGTATGACAAGACGAAGACCCACCAACGATGTTGCATGCACTGCCGAGGTCGTTACGAGGTCTGCTACTCATGCCGGCTCTGCAAATACCCCTGCTGGTTTGAGTCAATTGACGGGTATTCCTCATCTCGATGTCAACATATAAACCACGTACATCGGTGCTACATTGTCATTTGATTTGTTGACTACTGCGATGACAAATTATCCCCGTCAGAAACACAAACATCGGATCCACGCAAGGCCCTCGTATGGTATTAATTCTTTTGAAACCTTATTTATTCGCGTCTCTTCGATTTGCTCTCTGCGGGGCAAGATGCCAAGAAAAATCGAAATATTGAAAGTTAGTCATACTGTATCGAATCCTGGGACATTGTATCGGTCAGCTGTCCCAGATATGCATTGACCCTTTGACCACATAACATCCCTGGTGGTACAATAATCACACTGCTGGTAAGAGGCTTAGCCGGGGTGGAATTATGACAATCTCTGTAACTGTTATACTGGAATTATGGTGAGTTCGAGTGTTAGTCATGCTTGTGTAAGTGAAAACAGTACCAGTGCGGGGTTACTGAGTGGGACTGTAGGCTGTGGGAATGTAATCACATGTATTTGACAGAACATATTCTGGCCGAAATCCATTAATTCATAAGTAGAACTGACTCTTTATAAGCTTAATGCTTTCATTACACAGAAACAAAGATTAGTTTGTAGCAATTGGAAGAATATAAACACTCCAGATTTAATCAGAGGGCAGGGGCGGATACAACTTTTGAGAAAGGGAAGGGGAGGGGATTTGCACAATTGATAAAAGGAGGGGTGCACACTTCATGTTTTTACCTGAGTGTCAATGGTCATTTTATACACTTTCAGGGCAAAAGGGGGATGCGCACCCCTGCACACCCCAAACCCCCACACCCCTCTGGATCCGCCTTGGAGGGGTTGCTTAAAAAATGAATTTTCACACTGATACCAAAGGAAATCTACATACTGATGTCCCACGGTGAGGTCCGGAGTGGAGGTCCGGGTTGAGTGTGTGACCGTCCGTGTGTGTCGTGTGTGTCACTCGGGGACAAACACACAGTACTTGCGTTACTCAAGTGAATCAAGTGGAAACTTATCATTCATCGCGGTGCTTCGTCCACAGTAGTATCGACGTGTGATCGAACTTCGTCATATCACCATAACTACATGGCTGGATGTGTAAACAACAGGTCACTTCTCGCCATCCCGGGTAGCCGGGTACAGATCTTACAATTGATATAAACTAACGGGCAAAAGAAACGATACCAAGTAGAAATCACTGATATTACAAAACGACAAACCACCATTGTGGAAAAGGACAGTGAATTTTAATAACAGGTGTATAGGCAACATACACTCAGTCATTTCATTGGAGTAGCAACATTGAGGCACTGTATAAATGAAGGAATGAAGTCTAAATCAAATTAAAGTTTGGTATCGAGTCCTTTGCTTGTTGGTTGATAACATGCAATTAGCAAAGCGGTTTCCGTAGGAGGTTTATGTTAATGCTGAGAACGTGTATTCATGATTTTTTTAATATCTCAGATATTATTTTGCCAAAAAGTTGCAAAAGCCTGAAACCCTAAATGAATACACCTGAACCTGAATGAATACACCTGAACCTGACTGAGTACACCTGAACCCTGAATTAATACACCTGAACCCTGAATGAGTACACCTGAACACTGAATGAGTACACCTGAACACTGAATGAATACACCTGAACCCTGAATGAGTACACCTGAACACTGAATGAGTACACCTTAACACTGAATGAGTACACCTGAACAATGAATGAATACACCTGAACCCTGAATGAGTACACCTGAACACTGAATGAGTACACCTGAACACTGAATGAGTACACCTGAACACTGAGTGAATACACCTGAAGCCTGAATGCGGAGACGTGGCATCATGTATATAGTTATCTAAACACCCCTGGCAATACTCTGCTCGTTTCTCCAGTCGTGTGTGTCGGTTCCACTTGAAATATGCGTAAGAGTGCACTTGATATCAGGTTGAAAAGGACGTGAAAATGAACTTCAAAATCAATAATTCTGCTCTTAGAACCTGAACAGATATATAGGTACATTCGTATGTTGGGAGCAGTGAGGCGTGACTGGTGTTGAGCGCGGGTCGTCCTGGTCTCGTACTAATACCTACTGTTTCTTACCGTTATGTTTACACCTCACAAAGGAGACATTCATAACATTAGACTTGAGGTAATATATATTGAAGATCTCCACTACTGATCTACCAAAGCCCTGGCATACAAGCTTAAGACACGACATACACCTGTACAGGTAGACGGCATCACTAAACTTCACACAAGTTCAAGGAAGTGTGCTACATCCCTTTGATGTTCGTCTGGTAAAGGAAACAAGCTACAAAAATAGTTTAAATGGCAAAACTTACCATTCAATGTATACTTTTCGAAGCCACAGAACTGCTCCGCTGTTAGAATCTCTCAGCTGTACGTAACCTGTCGATATCCTATCAATATTGATAGCAAGGTTGCACGACCGTACAGTACTGAAACAGTATAGGTGCCCCGGTCTGCTGGGCGGGACGATCAAGGTACTCGCTGTGTCACAAACAGGACGACAACAACTACATCAGCACCTTCTAGCTGTACACCAGCGACCACGCCGTTTGCTTTCACACAGGGCCCAGCTACACTTCAGGAAAACAATGCAGGTTAATGGCAATCTGCCCCGAGGCCGGTGTTGTCATCGAGAGAGAAATGTGTCGTCTGCTAACGGCTGGCTTCGCGCCACTCACCTCTCACCTTGCCGATGTCACGTGACCTTCCGTCCAGGTGTTGAACAAGCTGATGAACGTTTGGCTCTGTGGTCAGATAAATACATTGTTACAGGACTTGCGGAGGTTGGGATAGGGGAACCAATTCTATAGTTTAGATTCGATCTAAATAAGTGTATCATTACTAGCATAACTGATGGTCTCGTCTTTGGTTGTTGTTTTGTTGTTGCATTTCTTCAAGGCGATATGTTACAATATGTATGTAATGAATGGTGCGCTTGAAGTGTGTTGACAAGTTTAAATAAACAACAGATATTTGACTAGTCTCGCATAATGTAAGTGTTGCCCACAAGCGGTTTTCATTTCCGTTTGTATTCAAGATATAATATATTATAGTTGTTTTAACACGAACAGACTTTTTAACAGGTCATCAAATACCACATTAAGCCTCCAGGAGATGGTAAGTATACGAATATGGTCTTTTTTGTGAATAAAAGTATGTGATTATGTAAGTATGTACTTTCTTAGACACCAAACAGAATGCAGATGCAGTGACAAGGTTTGAAGGTAGTGGAACATTTGTTGTTTGTGCTCTTCACGTATAATCAACTAATTACTTTTTTTCATCACGTATAAAAAGATAATACTGGCCCCCCTTTATGTTTGGATTGTTCAGCCATTCCTAGTAAAAATGCTGAACAACAGGGACACATTGATCATTTCTCTCTGCGTGAAATCCCCCAATACGATGTGGCTGGTCGTCATGACGGTTGCATCAAAAAGTAAACCTTTAGAGTTCACGTGATTCGATTTTGTATCTGTTGTTCATTCTATGCGAAGAACATAAATGGCTTGGTTTGAGCTGTTTCACCTTCGATGTATATCAAATTAGTAGATTCAATAGTTACAAAGAACGATGTTAAGCGGGAAACATCCAATTGTTTTCTAACATGGGTTTCTTGTAAAATAAATCAGTTTGGACACCAGTGAAATACAGGTACCCAAAACCACAGGTTGGTATTGGTCTTAACTACTGTTAATTACAAGGCACTTGATATGTTCGGGTGCTGTTTCGGGATAAATGTGTAATAAATAGATTAAGTAAATGTGTTTTCAAAGGAACAGTGTTCAGCGTATATTTTGTTTGTTTGTCAACGCTGCACGAAAGTATTTCCCAGCTGTGTATAAGTATGTAGCCTGTACTCCAGGGTCCAGTGATTGACATCATCAACATCAATCTATACCTCGAGGATACACATCCAAATCAGCCAGCCTGATAAGCCGATCGTTAGTCGATTCGTACGACAGGCATGGCTTGCCCCAAACTAACGGTGACCCAGATCTTCACGGGTTTGTTCATTTCGTCCTGTATAGAATGTGGTGAGGATATAAGGGTGGATTGGTTCCTTCTTTCAGAGACATCTGACGTGTGGTATGTCTGGCCGCACTGTGGCAGGCAATGGTCAGTCCCAATGTGTGTGAACCGACCAGTTGTTGATAGTATGATGCACACAGTCTTCTCATCACCCCTTTAATCCGGACACTATAGATTCAGGACGGTCACTGCTGGGTGTGGTGTCGTGTGGAACGTGGGCCATCATGGAGTACTCGTCCAGTACGGCGGGGTAGTTTTGTATACACAAGTCGTGAAAACCATTCGTGAAGTTGAAGCGGTCAGTAGCCATGTTCAGCTTCACACAGTGCCTGCCCCTTATCTACAGGGTTACCTATGATGTGAAGTACAGTAGGGCGTCTAGGTTGAAGGGTTATTTTACGATGGGCGTTGTTCAAATACAGGGTCGTGTCTATGGCCTGGCCATTCAAAGACCGCTGAGTAGACTTCGACAGTCTTTTATTCCGATGTGTGTCGATGTTTATTCCATTAGTGAATATGTCGTCTTTGGTTAACGAATTTCTTTGACCACGTGTTTAAGATGTTAATGTGGTGTTAAGGTGAGAGTGCCAGTCATGACCGTCTCTAAGGAATGTACATAAAACATAATATTAAAGTTGCAGGCAACATTGGACGGCTCCTTGGCTTGGATCATTTCTAAACATTTGGTACCTGATGTCGAAAGCAGTAAAGGTTATAGCTGATATGGATCGTATCATTGTCAGTAATGAGAAATACTTCAGGAGCCGATTTTACTAGCGCTTACTTCAGCTAGACCAGAGTTACCCCCTTAGACCACAGCTAGAACTTTTACCCTGACCCGGAACGTTCAATCACTGACAATCTTTAAAACTGCCTAAAGACCTCCACCGCAGTGTAGTTTAATTTTGTGCAGCGCTAGCTCGTCGTCATTGTCAACTGAAATCGACATCATCTCCCATATCTGCACGTGGACCACGCTTTGCAGTGGTAGTCTCTTTATAGCAGATATCGTCCCTGCACTTTCCTTCAGACTGTCGCATGTTTTGCACGGGTAATCTGCCGTGCTCGTGCTGTAAATGTCGATGAAACTTATGATACATTCGGCAATGTATCCCTGGGCCGTCGGTGATATAAAGAAGTCCCTATTTCGTTAAATCTGCCCAAACTTTGGGTTTTTGAATGTAAGCATTATTTATGATGACTGGTACGTTGCTGAAAGTCTGTTTGCGTCATATTTAGCGTGTTCAGCCTGGAGTTGTGGGTGAGTTTGTTTGGTACTCTTTTTCTTTCATTTGGGGCACGTCTCAAACAGTTTTTTTTCCCTTTTCCCTGCATTTGTGCAATTTTCAATGCCATATGGCCGACAAACGATCAAACTTTTGATATGCATGTAAGAACACGAAACGTTAAGCATCTTCTGTTGATGCATACTGCCAAGTTTTACTGCCTTCTGTGCAGAACTTGAGCAGCTATGCTGTTTAGAATGTAGTATCATCAGAATCTGACGAAATCCAATATGGCCGCCAAGCAATGCACATTTTGACATGCACCCAAGAACAAAAATGTTCAACACACTTAGTTACTACGCACTGCCAGATTCTAGCTGCATAGTTGCGAAAGTAATGATGCTGCGATTTTTTGAAAATACATTTTAGTACAAAATAAACAACAGAAGCAAACATCTAGATATCCGTAGCTAATCAAGATATCGCAACATAGCTTATGGGCATTAATATTTGAGGTATATGTTGTATATCTGCACATTTACAGCGTTCTGCAGTTCATACATTCAGAGTTATGGCTTGCGAAAAATGCCTACCCAACAAACTCTGCACATTTCCGAGAAACATCTTCAATCCAATATGGCCGCCGCATCACGTGACTTTTGACATAGGACCAAGAACAGAAAATGTTTAACAACCAAAGGCCACTTCAGAACAAGCGTTTAAACTGTTGTATGTGCTAAGTTTAGTTTGGCACACAATGGCAAAGAAGCCCGTGAAAGTTTTTGAAGACAACTTTTGCCCAAAAGTAGCGTCCAATATGGCGGCCATCATATAAACACAGGCACATTTGACGATGCTACTGTGTAGAAACATGCATAGACACAAAGTATGCAACGTTTGAAAGCCGTAGCCCTTGTAGTTTTAGTGCCGCACATTTTGGGAGGTATGCAGTCAGGATTTTGCTGAAAAACATCACCAAAAAACTTCAATCCAACATAGCGTCCAAACGGTGCATTTTAGCGACTTGAGCCGTCCAGGCGAAATTGTAGGCATTTTGATTGCGCATCTGCTCCAGAACTTTGGCAAACATTGGAGCATTAGTTTTGGAGATATTTGCATTTGCATTTGAAATTTTTGAATTAATTTTGAATTATCTGCCCTTTGCTATTGGGCCTACAGCCTAGAGATTTTAATGGGGAATATCTACACCTTGGTGGGCATCTGGGTGAATTTTTTCAAGCGAATCTGTCCAGCGGTGCTCTCTGTAGCTCTGGTACAAAATCCGGCGGAATAATAAATAATAATAATAAAAACATTAACGATTACAATAGGTCTCCTGCCTAAAGGCAAAGGAGCCCTAATTACAAAATCGTTATTTTTGAGTTTTTCGGGGTTTTGACCCCGGAACTTGATAGTATGTCAAAAATGCTTTCTAATGGTCAAGGTCACCAAGGTCACGGGGGTCAAGGTCATTTGACCGGTCCGTCACAAGACAAAAACACGTTTTTTGGCGAGCTAAGACGCCGTTGTTATTGCCTCTAGGGTGAAAGGAATTAGTGTTTCTGCTTTGCCCAGACCCGATGTATCATATGCGCTGGTCAGATTTAGTGACAAATATGTCCGCCGTCTGTCCGTACGTCTGTCCGCCAAAATACTGTATAGTTAGTATCTCCGGAACTGTTAAACGTACAGAGTTGAGATTTTGCACACAGCATTCCCTCGACTGTGCCTAACGATGCTGTAAAAGTCAAGTCATTGAAATTTCAACTGTTGTTGCTATGGCAACCTGAAAATGAAAAAACTTTAATCCAAGATGGCGGCCAAACGGCTAGAGATATCGAGCTGGGACTACCAGACAAAAATGATGGGCATCTCATGACCAAGTCACATACCGAATATGGAAGCGATTGGAGCAATAGTGGTGGAGTTATATGCTGTTTTATGCCGTTTGGGACACATAATGCATTTGTGCAATTTTCAATGCCATATGGCGGACAAAGAATCAAATTTTTGATATGCATGTAAGAACACGAAATGTTAAGCATCTTATGTTGATGCATAATGCCAAGTTTTACTGTCTTCCTTGCAGAACTCGAGCAGCTATGCTGTTTATAACGTAGTATCATCAGAATCTGACGAAATCCAATATGGCCGCCAAGCAATGCACATTTTGACATGCACCCAAGAACAAAAAATGTTCAACACACGTAGTTACTACGCACTGCACTGGCAGATTCTAGCTGCCTAGTTGAAATCTGCCCAGCGGTGCTCTTTGTAGGACTGGAACAAAATACGGCGGAAGAATAAATAATAAAAATGATAATAATAATAATATTAAAGTTGCAGGCAACATTGACGGCTCCTTGGCTTGGATCATTTCTAAACATTTGGTAC